CTGATGTTGAGGGAGTGATGTTGGTGCATAGGGAGTAGGTTTCTGGAACCACCTCTTCACCTGGAAGGAGGTATGGTCTTAGGGTGTTTGCTAATAGGACTAATGTGCTGATTTGCTGGGTAATGTGCAGTTTAACAAGGTCTTTTGGGGACAGCAACACAAACTTCCTAAGAACTGTGCAAACTCCCAAGAGCAGTGTCATTGTGATGTTCTACAAAATTTTCTTCCTGGCTAAGTGATCACAGCTTAGGCAAAGGCCAGGATTTAACCAAGATTCTTCTAGGGCTCAGACCGTTGACTACTGGGAGGGCTCTGGAGAGCTCAGGCGCAAGGGGTAGGCAGCTCAGGGCTGAAGACCTGTGCAAGAACCTAGCTTAGACCATGCCAGTATTTTGGCTTCTTTTTTCTTTTGCAACTCACAGGTGCTGTCAATATTGGTTTGTTTACTTTGGGAAACCCTATCATCACCCAAGCCAAAGCACCATTTCCTCCCAGGTATACTGCTGTGATTCACTGCTGTGCTTCACTTCTGTGAGCCGTAGGCTGTAGAGAGGAAGTTGCCCGGAATTAGCACAGCACCCCTGGCCCAGCAACACTATTGTACTGGGGACTCCTCATACCTGTCAGGCAATGCAGGACTGAAGTACCCACGAAGGGGACGAGAAAAACAAATGGTCTTCTCTGCCCCTAGTTAGCATCTAGGTTCAAGTGACATCCAGGATCAGCCCAAAGTCTTCTGCCCTAAACAGAGTAGCCCTACAATTCTTTGACCATAATGCTGTTGGGATGATGGAACAAATTGATTTGACCGAAGTTGAGGTCAAGGGAAACTATGATTCCCAGGGCCCCAGCAAGAGCTGGTAAACAGAAGCAGCTTCTGCTTTCCCAAGCTCTGCTGGCTCACTCCTCACCACTCCAGGATGGCCCTGTGGCCTAGTCCTGAGCCCAAGTCACATTTGGTCACTGCAAACACTTTGGGCCTCCCATTCTTTTTAAATTGCAAAATAAACAGATCTCTAAGGCCCCAGGCAGCTTTTGTGTATGTAACAGAGAGTATTTTTGTCTTTAAAAAAGAAAGGCAGAAGGGGCTGCCTCCTTTGCTCTAACTTGCTCCTCATTGCCTTCTGAAGTGTACCCACAGAGATGAAAACCAGAAGACCTTGCCCTTAAGGGCCTGAAAGTCTAGTTTTTTGGTTCTGTTGTATGGAGCTCCAAAACTGTATTTTGTTAGCAGCTGTTTTGGGAGGCATAACCCACTTCAGTGAATTCTTGGTTACTGAAGATCCTTAAGTCTGGCCTTCTGGGGTTTCCTGAAGCTTTCTTTCTTTCTTTTTTTTTTTAAGATTTATTTATTTTTTGAAAGTCAGAGTTATACAGAGAGAGAACGAGAAGCAGAGAGAAAGAGATCTTCCATCCGTTGCTTCACTCCCCAGTTGGCTGCAACGGCCAGAGCTTCGCCGATCTGACGCCAGGAGCCAGGAGCCTCTTTCCAGACTCCTATGCAAGTGTAGGGGCCCAAGGACTTGGGCCATCTTCTACTGCTTTCCCAGGCCACAGCAGAGAGCTGGACAGAAGTGGAGCAGCTGGGACACGAACTGATACCCGTATGAGATGCCAGTACTGCAGGCGGCGGCTTTGCCCACTACATCACAGCTCTGGCCCAACGCTTTCTTTACTCTGGTTCTGCCCCTGGCCATGAGGTTGCTGGAACATGTGAATGGGGAACTGCAAAATGGGATGTGGTAAGAAGTACTGCAGAGCTTCGTTAGATAAAACACAGTATGGGAGTAGGTCTGTAGCCTTTCACCTGTTTGTACCTGCCACCTGGTCTGATCCTCATGTTGACAGTATTCAATTCATTAGTTACCTTGTGACATTAAAAAGTACCCTGTGTGTCTGTACTATGGTAGCTGAGGCAGCTGGTACATTCCTTTAAATGGGGGACTTACTGGTCATCAGTTCCGTGTGATTTATTCAGATACAGACTCTAGTAAGGGTGAAGGGCTACAGGAGGGTTTTCTCCTGCCCCTGTTTTCAGCAAACTTAACTTTCAGTGTGTGAGGTTCATGGATTGAAAGGGAGTCATGGTTGGGAGGTTTTACTTCAGGGTTCACTCAGGGAACTGAACTAAAGCACCCAATATCAATTTTCTGAGAATTCTGTTTTTGCAGCATGCTTACTGTGGATTTACAAAAAAAGTTGACAGGGACAACATATTTTCAAACTATAGGATAAAGAACATTAAAGTACATCACACTCCAAACCCATGAGAGGTCACCTTACCAGTAAGTGGACAGCTGTCAATTCCTTCCCTCCTTGTGGCTGATGAAACCATTGTATGGTTCCCAAGGCTTACATCATTTATTAACCAGCAAGTCCTCATAAGGAAAGGACTGGAAGTTGTGCTTATTTCTCTTACCTTTAGTTCTGTTTTTTCCATCTCTTAGGTATTCTGGGTTTCTCCAAGGGGGACTGGGGAACTCCTGTCACTGTGGCAGATGGCTGCAGGGCACCTTGTGAATCCAAAACTCTTGTTCCGAGGCAAAGCGAAGTTAACACGTCACTTTCCAGTTTCAATACCAATAAGCTTTTTCTCAACCAATGCCGGCGTGATTTAGACTTGGGCATTATGTCATCCCAACAGGAATGGAATGTGCGCTTTCTGATTGGCTAACAGGAGTTCTGTTATCTCTTTGTCTGCAGTCACAGTCACCATGTTCTACAATGCTAGCATGTGTTGGAGCAAGTGGACTTGAATAGCTGTTTCACCACTGAAGTCAGTCACAGTTCTTGCAAAGACTCAACTTTCTTCTTTCCATAGCACTACACTGTAATTGCTTATTTAGTTATTTTGTTGGCTACTTTTTTCCTATTACTTCTCTGCTGCTCCTGATGACTAGGACATTATGAGCTCAAGAAATGTTTTACTAGACATATATAAAGGAGTGAAAAAATTTGAGGAATTTTTTGCTTATTAAAGGTATAATAACTCAGGATGGTTCCCCCTGGTCTTCCTGGGTGATGATCAACTCTGAAGAAGATAATGCATTTCTAACCCTATCAAATATGGAGGATGGACGTGGGGGTAGGGAGACAGCACTAACAGAGTTGGAAAAGGTAGATTATACAACACAGAAACAGTACTAACATAAATACATATTAACAGACCTTGGCATAGTTTAGTTTTCCTCTGGGTTGCTTCCCCATCTCCACCCCCTTTCTTTTCTTTTTGCTGAGGAGACTGCGTAAGGTTATCAGTCCACTCTTCTGTGATGAATGTTCTTTTCTCATTGTTTACCGGGTCAATTTAAGTTTTAAACACTTTAGCTGTGTAACGCTTTCTGTAAAAATAAGTCCATGCTCAAGTTTTAGATCATGTAAAAAAGTACCACACACATTAAAAAAGATGAATTGGAGAAAACCTTCCTTTTCTCAGCCATAGATTTTGTTTGGGGAGGTGGTGTCTCTGCCAGGATGAGAGTGCTACCTGTGGAGAGTGCGCTCCAGTAAGAATTTGAGAACTGAATGCTTACAGTGGAGGTGAAGGGCGGGGCAGAAGACTGCAGTCATTGCCTTGTTTTGCATCAGTTCAGGATTCTCCCTTCCTTTGAATGTGCTGCTTTAGAGCCATTGACCTTTTTTAGCTAACAGTGATTGAAAAGTGGAATCTTTAGAACTGGGGTGCAAGTAAAAATGCATCAAGCTTTTAACTTGAGAAACTAACTTTGAGTTTTTGAGTGGAGCACTCGGTTTCATGGTCCAAAGAAAGAGCACTAATAAAGTGGGGTCTCTAGAGTTGGTGGCTCCTGCCCACAGCTCTTACACCCCTCTCCTTGCTAGGGCTGCCCAGGCCAGATGTATATGGACTGCCAGTGAGGAAAATGCAATACCAGTTCCTCACAAATGATTTTTACTCTTCTGTTGTGTAGTTTCTTGTCAATGTGTTGAAGTGAGGCTTATTCAGGAAGTGATCTCATCTGAGAAGGACCATGTCAGTTTCAAAACAGGAAATCCTGGATTAAATCTCAGGCCATAGGGAAGACTTCAGATCACACATCTGGCAGACTACATAGCTTTAATATTAATTTTATTTGGATAAATCTTTGGGATACTTTTAAAACCTTATAGCTTAAAATGTCATTATTTGTCATTTGAAGACTGAGATCAGTTACTTTTTTCCCTCAAGCTTATGCAGATTCCATCTCCCCAGGATCTCATTGACATCACAAGGAATCTTGCTTCTCAAGCAACAGCTCATTGCTTTTATAGGACTCTCATTTTTTTGCTATTTGTTTTGCTTTCATTTTGAATACTATCCCCACCACCCAATCTGGCAAAAGGAACTGGTGAGGCCTTTGTGTTTCAGCCTAAGTTTCTTCCATGATTATACATATTTGATCCTTATAATAGTGTTCAGAAAAATAGTAAAAATAGAAAATAAATTTCAGCACAATAATAATTATTAGTGGATTTCTACAAGTGGAATGAAATTATTCAGTCCTGAATCATCAATCACTTTTATTGAGTTTCTTTTAAAAATTTTTAAAAATTTATTTATTTGAAAGAAAAAGAGAGAGAGAGAATCTTCCAACTGCTGGTTTACTTCATAAATGTGATAGCCAGGGCTGGGCCAGGCTGAAGCCTGGCTCCTGCTGTGCTACAGTGTAGCCCATCAGCCACATCAGCAGGTGGCGGTGGCTGCTGCTGCTGCTTTTTTCTTCTTCTTTAAAAGATGTGCTTATTTATTTGACAGTCAGAGTGACAGAGAGAGAGAGCAAGAGACAGATATCTTTTACCCTTTGGTTTGCGCCTCAAATGCCCATAACAGCCAGGGTTAGGACAGGTCAAAACCAGGAGTCAGGAACACCATCTGGGTCTCTCATATGGGTGACAGCAACACACACATTTGGGCCCTCATCTGCCACCTCCCATGAACAGGAGTAGGAGGCTGGATCAGAAGTGTGGAGTAGCTGGGACTTGGATCCTGCAATGCAGGAGTCTCATGCAGTGGTTTAACCTGCTGCATCACAACATCCACTCCTTTATTAGACTTCATAAAATATTGAATTATGTCTTTTTCACCTTACCTGGTTTTAGTGGAAACAAATGATTATTTTAATCTAGGTCATCTTTAAAAAAGAAGCAGGACATATTTCATTTTTATATAGAATAAACTTTGTTTTATTATAGACATGGATCAAAAATAAAAGTTTTTATGTACATATGACATATAGTGCAAACAAAAGGCTTTAAATACCATGGATGGACATGTTGTTGGAAACAAAAGGAGATGAATGATGGGGGTTAGGATGGTCTTCCTGGAACTGCAGGAGGGGGTCGCCTGGTGAAAACAAAACAAAACAAAATAACAAAAAGAAAAATACAAATGCAGAGGAAGAAATGTTTAAATTCAAAAATAAATCCAAATAATAGCATGCAAAAATTTCCCTCAAAAGTCAAATTCAAATCAGACCAAAAAAAAAAAAAAAAAAAACCCAACCAAACAAACAAAACACATGCAGGCATGCAGGGGGAAAAAACCAACAACAACCACGTGGCAAAATTAGCAGTTTTCAGGACTTTTCCTGACTATCAGCAGTGTGCTAGGTTTCAGCCATTTGAGTCCACTCTTAAATGTTATTAATTTGCACGTGGGAATGATAGATCCATGCAATACTATTCACGAGAACCAGGAGTAGGAGCAGAGCCAAGCATCTTTATCACTTGACAATTGCCAACCCTGACTTCTGTGAAACTCAATTATTTCTGAAGTTTTCAATGAGTGTTGTGAAATCTCCATAGGGTGAGAGGGAGTTGATAGAGAAATATGACAAGTGAGGAAAATTAGAAGATGTTAAGAGATCTGATAGTGTAATCCTAATGCAGAAAATATCAGGGGTCAATCTCAGAAAAAAAGGATTTCTAAATAGGAATTCATTCTAAGTGAACAGTCTTGAAATGTAATAGCTTGGAATCAGATCTGGGGCAAACTAGGAGGCCAGGGCTGGTCCATGGTGATCCTAGCTTTTTGTAGGATTTCCTTCTGTCTGAGAGTTAGGCATAACCGAAATTCTTATTGAATCTGAAGTGTTTCCAGGATAAGTGATATCTGGTTTGCTAGACCTTTCTGTGTATCTCTAGCCTAGCCTGAAGCTCTTTAAGGCCATTGATTATGACACAAGGGCCCATAACAGTCCTGGCTGGGCTGGACCAGGCTGAAGCCAGAAGTCAGTAACTCAACCCAGGTCTCCCATATGGTGGCAGGGAGCCAAGTACTTGAGCCATCACCTGCTCCTCTCAAGTCTGGCTTTAGGAGGAAGCTGGAAGTGGGAGCAGAGCTAGGACTCAAACCCAGGCACTCTGATACGGGACATCCCAATTGGCATCTTCACTGCTGCACCAGGGGCTGGCACCAGAAGTCTATACTTCAGTTTCCTCTGTCTAAACAAACCAATAATGAACTCAACACTGTGGCAAGCCATAGAATTGTAAGGTTCCTTCAGAACCCTACTCTCCAGTGTTCAACAACATGCTCACTTCCATCTTAATCTCAAGACACTTCAGTGAGTGGAGCAATGAAGTCTAAAAAACAAAAACAAAAAAACAAAAACAAAACCTTCTTTTTCATCTTCTATGAGCTGTTGACATAGTCAACCTGCCTGGGCTATTTCTGAGCAGTGGTTAGGAAAAAAAGATCTTACCTTCTCCAAAGTCCAAGACCAATTTTTCTTTGGCCCAATTCAAGCTGACTACACTAAGGAGGCCTCCTGTCCATTTAAATGATGAAGAACTTGTTACTGGTACCTCAGCTTTCAACTGCGGGGGGTCTGCAAGGAGTTAGCCTTGGAGATCCAGGTAATGGGTATCCCTGGTGTTTTCATGAAGAAAGTGTAATTAAATTTCTGTCAGGCTCAATGAGATTTATCACCTGCCTGGCAACAGAAAGTATTTTTGAGTTCTGAAGGGGCTTTAGAACTCTCTAAAGACCTCAGTGGGGTGGAGGTGAGCCATTGCACTCCACAGCCAGACTCCTGCTGAAGCCATGCTCTGTTAGCATATGCCAAAACGCTTCCCTGTTGGCGCTAGCCTGGTGTTCCAATCCAGAAACAGGATCAGAAACGTTATGTGTTGGAGTGTATTTCGCTGACAGCTAGAATGTTCGATGCGGACGTCAGGGTGACATTTATCACCTCAGCACCTTTCTTTGCATCTTCACTTATTTTGTATCTCACTTCCCTCTCATTGCCACAAAAAAAAAAAAAAAAACCCTGTTGATGATAACACCATTTAGGGGGTCAGAGTTAGTTCTATCATGGGTATCAGGAGTTGGGGTTTTTATTATTTCTTTTCCAGATTTTCTATTACTTACATAGTGCTGAGTGCTTGCAGGCAAATGCTGAAAATATCTGGGCTTTTTACACCTAGAGGCTACAAAGGTATCTCCTGCTGTGGCTGCCTCTAATGTGAAAGCTGGAGGGCTAAACTGGAACACACAGAGTTGCTAATCAACTTTTAAACTCATCATACCTGAATCATAAGGAAGTCTACCTAATCCAGATGATAATTTCAGGTTATATTTTCTTAAGCTTTCTGAAAAATAACTTCATAGTACAAGTATCTGGGCAAAATAGTAAGTTAAGAGGTATATAAAGTCACATATAAAAGACTCTTTTGTTAATAAGAATGATGAATTAACCACATTCTCTGAGATCTACCTCAATCCTGCAATCTGGCTTTATGGTGACATTCCTCTGGCAAGGTCTTCCTAACAGATTTTTTTTTCCTGTTAGAATCTCACAAAACATTCTCTGCTTGCCTTCTTTGCACATTATTTAGGTAATCTGATAACCCAGAGCTGAAGGTGAGCTGGAAGGCTTGAGAAAATGAGGAAAGAAAAGCAATAGGGATAGATATTCTTCTGAATTCCTTGATGACTTTTAATTTAAAATCAACCTGGATCTCTTCCTTCATAATAACCTCATGTGGGTAATGTAATTAATTTAAAGGAGCTCTTCCTTGAAGAGTGGGTGACAGGAGGCAAGGTAGAACATTTTCAGAGACCCACACAAGACGCATTAAGACTCCTGGCATGTTCATCTCTAAGCTGCTTTCATGCCTATCATCCAAAGTGTTACAATGGAGAGGCTTTAGCTGTTCTCCAGAACCTCAATTAGGACAAGGATATATGTAGTAGACTGAACATTTTAGTGTTCCCTTACTGCTAGGAGAACAGGAAGAGGTAAATTCTCCCACTGTGGCCAAGGAACAAATTAGGGAGGCCGACTGTAGGGTCAGAAGTTCAATCATTTAAGGAATTCCTCCTATGGAGCTAGCCCTCCTGCAGAGCATGGCCCCTCCCACTTCCCAGGGTTGTTCATGGTTACCCTCTTTTTTAACCACAAAGTGCCATCCATGGTGCTTTTTGGAAAGAGTCACAGTGAACCCTTCAGCTGTTTCAGAACT